ATGAAAGTAACACATAGAAAGAAGACACTCCTACACCATGGAAGTACTGTTCCCCATGATTTGAGGAACACAGTTTTTATATTGCCAATAAAAAGGGAAAAGACTGATGTAAGATTCACAATAACAGTCTGTGAGTAACTGTGGTGAGTTTTCTAAGGAGGGCAGATACAGGTGACTTGTGATTATATCAGCATGCGCTATGTAAAACCTGTTCAACAGAGAGAACAGTGGGCCGAGGGTAAGCCAAGTGTAACAGCAGCACAAACATTAAGGATATGAACAACTCTAGTACTGAGAACTTTAAATTGTGTATCCTTTCAGGAAATATGGGCCATCTCATTTCATTCTTATGGAAAATTTTCACCTACCAACCTCAGCCTCTATTATAGTCTGTTATGGTCAGTTTAAAAGCTAAAAAATAGTTTGAAACAAAAATTATTTCAAATATAGTAAATTATTTTTAAGCTCCACAAATACGGAAGCACATAAAAATTTTAAGCAAGGTTCTCTCAATATCACAAGTATACTCAAGATATTTAAAAACATATTTATACAAATTTGTACCTGGTATCTCACAGCAGTATGAATCATATTAAATCAAATATAAGAGCACATCAATATCCACTAACTAATGAGTGGGCAAATTAAAAACATGACATTGTCATGCAACAAAATAAGATCAACTTCTGAAAAGAATGGAGTTCTATTGCTCATATAACATTGATGGCACTTGAAAACCATCAGGTTAAGTGAGAGAAGACACCCATTTGCTGTGGAATGATCCTTCTGTACACTGTGATTATATATATTCCTCATTGGTTAATAAAGAAGCTGCTTTGGTCTATAACAAGGCAGAATAAAGCTAGGCAGGAAAGCCAAACTGAATACAGGGAGAAAAAAGGGCAGAGTCAGAAGAGATGCAGTCAGCCAATGGGGAAACAACAGGCTAGACCACAGGCAAATCCAAGAGCCTTATGGTAAAATGTGAATTAATAAAAATGGTCCAATTTAAGTTATAAGAGCTAGTTAGTAATTAATATTAAGCCTCTGAGTAATTGTTTAGAAGTGGCTGCAAGACAGGGTGGGACAGAGAAACCTCTATTTATACATATGGTAGAATTCTGTTCTCTTCAGTGAACAGAAAGGGTAAATCTGTAGAGGCATCAAGTAAATGAACAAGAATGGAAAGTAGTAGGACATAAGACAGTAAACTCTAACAAACAATTAGTTTCTTACTGAGGTGACAGAATGTTCTAGAATTAGATATTAAGGATTATTACACAAGACGGTGAATAAATGATAACCTCTGAATCATATACATTAAAATGGATCATTTGTTATCCCAAATTATAATGAAGTAATAACTTTTAAAGTTAAATAAAGCAAGTTTGGTTTTCCATAAATAGAAATTATGAGTGCTAGCACCCTTGTGATTGCTTTGTAATTGCTTTGACCTGTTTCACCCCCAAAATAATGCTATGTGTTTTATAGATGAGAAAGCTCAGGAACCTTGCTCAATGCCCATCTTGTTTTATTTTGTAGAACAAAATGAGTTAGAAAAGTTGGCAATCTGTCTCCAAATTCAGGCTATCCAACTAACTTACAGAGAAAATACCCTTTAACAAATTGGAGATACCCAAATTTCCAGAAAATTCTGAGTGATGACATCCTCCCTTAGATTTTCTCTATGGTTGACTGAGTGCCACTAAAGTAGAGCCAAATAGTAAAAAGGGCAGAAGACCCAGAAAAGCAAAAATGTTACTATTGGTGCCTAAAAGTAGAAGTGGTATCAACCTTCAATTATGCCATATATAATGCTTTAAAATTTCTTTGTTACTAAATATTATACCAAATTCAATTCTCCTCCTTAGAGTCCCTTAATTTCTCTGCATTCTGCAAAATAAAATTGCAGCTATAATTATCATTTCACTAAAAATAGATGGATGTTTATGTTCTCTTCAGATTAATGTACTGAAATCCAAATCTCCAAAATAATAGGATTAGGAGACATATTCATTACATCAAGAGAGAAGCTCCCTTGTGAATGGGATTGATGCCATATAGAAATTGCTACAAGGCTAACTTGATCCTACCATGAAGTGACAGTATACCAAAAGATGGTCAAGAAAGCAGCTTTCCTGTGACTTGGATATGGCCAATACCTTGGCCTTGGTTTCAGCAGTCTCAAAAGTATGATGATCAATTCTCTGATGTTCAGAAGTCATTCTGCCTATGGGCTTTTGTGATGGCAACACCAAGTCCCTGCCCTTGTGGAAGAAACTTCTATGGCCTTTACCAAAACATTCTCTTTGAAATAATTGAATTAGTTTATTTGCCCTGAAATGAAACATGAAAACTGTCTCTGTTTTGTTGGCTCAGATACCTGTATTTGGAAGACAGTTCTGACTGCCTCACCTGAGTGATATCATTCTTAGCTTGGCTGTTCATTGGTCTCTCAACACTGACCTAAGAAGAGCCACTGTAGGGTGCTGCCTACACAGTCAGGTCACTGTGCCATGAATTTCAGAAAGGGATATTCCCCTACCTTACCCAGCTACACAATTCGTTCGTGCTTTTGAATTTTACATGAAAGCATCTGTTATCTGAATCAATCTGAACAGAAGAAGGGTGGTTACTACCCTCTTATTGGTCCCACATCATAAATGGGCATACCACCCAGATCCTTTCCCTTCATGATTGTTGCCTCCATTTTCTTCTTGTTGCCTCAAGACTCTCTCAGGAACAATTTTCTTTGAGAACTAGCTTCAACTAAACAAAGACACATTATCCAGTGTCATGTCCATTTTCCCAGAGGCAAGCCACAGCCAAGAATTGTAATGTAAAATGTATAAATATAAAAGCCAATCCCTTGGACTCAAGGATTTTTCTCACACCAAAGATATGATCCCCTAGAACATTAGCCCAAAAACGGACTCAAAGGCTGTTTCCTGTAAAAATTGATCCCTATCATGCTTTTCCAGATTGAATCTGAATGTGGCATTTGATATTATGTCTGAATTTTGTAATAGAAAATGGTTATAGATGACTTAGCATCTATCATCCTTGGCTTAGGCCAGAGGTGCTGGCTCCTCCTTCTGCTGCTCATTTCAGGGTAAAAAAGGCCATGTTGTACCTTAAGTCATTCTTTTCAGAGGAAACTACAAGCAAAAATCAATTCTTTTTACTGTCATGGCACTCTGAAATGTGATAGAGATGACTATGGGAAGATTCTCTGAAATCCAGATTTCTCCTGGTGTTGATACAGCTTGAGAAAATGAAAAGTCCATTTGTGGAAGGTGTTCTAATGAGACACCTCAAATGAATATGCCAATTTTTTATCTTACTTTGTTGAGTTGCTTTGTTTTGTCAGTTATGTGAAAACATAGACTAGGGATGGATCGTCTTTACTATCAAATTACTAAGCTCACACTGACCATGAGAATCCTTTTGTACATCCAATAAGGACAACTCCCTTCCAAACTACTCATAATTGCAACATCATTTATCACTCTGCTTGCTTACAGCACTGTTACTCTGATTGTATAGGGAACCACAGAGCTTTTAGCTCAAAATTCTCTTGGATCAAATACAAAGATCAGTTTGGGAATTTTAAAACACTACATAGCGGCATGAGAAAGCTATCATATATATGATATATGTGATATATGTGATATATATATTACATAAGGATATAAATACAATCTCTAATATATAAATGTGCTAATATATCGGCATACATATATAAAGAAAACATACTAATAGCATACAGTAAATGATTAATAAATGAAATTAAATCATGGGTTAATAAACCAAAAGTGATCCTCTCAAGATATCCTAGTGAACAAAACCTTTCTCTTGTCTGCTTCTAAAAGCCCAAAGCATGGCTTTTCATCTTGATGAGACTTTTTCAATCTACAATTCTGAGGGGGAAAAATGTGTGCGCCAGACTAATTCCAACTTCACAAGTACAAAAATAAACAAAAGTAAACAGAGAATTAGAAACAGAAACCAACAAGAAATCATGCCCATTTTCTCTTTATTGACAAAATATACAGAAGGAAGAGTCACCCCCGCCTGTTAGGAGCACTGTTAGTGTGACCCCACAGAGGCCAAAGACATGAAACAGAGCAAGCTTCCAACTGACACACAGCTCAATGTGGCCACAACTATGTTGAATATCCAACAATATCTTTCTCTAGACACTGAAAAGCACAAATGTCTTTCTTCTGTGACAAGGGGTGGCCTGCAATGCTTAGCACCATAGAACACTCTTGACCAGGAAAGAAAACGCAATCCTCACCATAGACTCAGCAGGAAATGAAAAAGAGTTGAGGAGGACAGGACAATGACAAAGAGAAAGCTAAAACCCATGATCTTCAAGACTAGTGAACTCCAGAGACAAGTGTTCTATAAAGAAATATTTTCATTACTATTTCTAAGCATTTTGAATATAAATTTATAGTACTCACTGAAGTCATGTGTTACTTAAATCAGAGAGAATAACAACAGGAAGAAAGGAGAAAGAAAACAAAGAGCAAGGAAGGAAGAGAGGAAAGAAAAAAGTCTACTCTAAAATATGGTCCCTATTTATTTAAGTCTGAACTGTAGACCACATTCCAAAATACAATCTGTTTCACAGTGCATAACTGAAGCATACCACTACCTCTGAAATCTGGCGGGCAGAACACATGGTACAGAGTGCAGAGTCATGGGAGATTTAAAGAAGGGTTGAGCTATTTGTAAACATAAGGTAGGAGAAATCTCGTTCAAAGTAACAGACTCTCCACATAGGAAATGCGAGAAACATGCTGAGACCTTTCTTAGAAGAGCTTTCATGAGCTAGTCATTCTATTTTCCACAGGAATGCAGGAATTATTGCAAAATGCCTCTGTTCTCCAAGCATGTTAGCTTCAAGAGAAAACTTTGCAAAAACTATTTTCCAAAACCTTTGTCTTAACTTTTCCTTCTTTTTCTAGAAAGGAGAAAATCCGTTCGCTCACCTGCATCAAAGCTCACACTTGGCATGATGTCCACTGTCCCATGAAAGGCTCCGGCCCATGCTGAGGTAGCAGTGGTGACTGTAGTCGGATCTGTCTTTGTGATGTCACACTGGGGAGCAGGAATCCTGGCAGTACGCACTGATGGCATTAGCAGGGGCCCATACGCGGGATCCAGGGCAGAACCAGCAGCTGGGTGGTGGTGGTGATGGTGGTGGCGGTGGTGCATGTGGGCGTGAGGATGGTGATGCCGCATGTACATGTCATGCATGTGGCTGTAGGACGGGCTCACCTGAGATGCCAGAGGATAGTGCCAGGACTCGGACGCAGTAGGGGGTGGGGCAGGGCCAGTCTGATGCAGACCATGTCCTGGCCAAGAGTTGGGGTCTGCTGTTGTAAAGGTGCCATGGGGTGCAGTGACTTGGAAGTCAGGATGAACTCCCCCCAAACAGGGTGCAGGTGGGGACTGGTAAGAGCTGGTCCAAAAGGAAGTTGGGAAATTACTCCGCTGGCTTGAGAGAGCTGAGCTGTCTGAGAAGACAGAAAACACGTTATTTACATAAGAAACAGTTCTGCTGTTTATTTGTTTTTGCTTGTTCAGTAATGTTTTATAAGCAAGAAGATTACATTGCTTGTTTTCTGTCTACAAAGGATGAGTTGATACGGGCTTAGCCTCTGGGGTACCAAGTCCCGGCAAAATGCGACCCTCTGCGTTTGCTTTTGCTGGGCTTTCTCTATCTCAGTTTGAGCAGAGGTCTTTGCTTCAATGTAAAGACTGAAAGGCTTCATTTCCTGTTGGAACCATGTGGCTCTTCGTTCTAAACAGCAGTCATACTATATATTTCTCTGGTGAAGAATATTCGTGCCATTGTTGTCTGTGTTTGTGTAGACTGGAAATAGTTTCACTAATATCTTTTAAGCACCAACACAATTTTTTATTTAGTCATAATATTTCAATGACCAAATTAAGAAATTGCAACAAGATAACATGTAACTGTTCCCACCAAATCACTGATTATTTAAATTCATTTTAACTTCTGGGGAAACCTAGGAATGCTGTAGTCTTGGCAATAACAATGGTTAACATTTAACGAGGATAGCCAGATGTCCAACATCAGACCAAAGGCTGCTGGTGAGCTCATGGAATTCTCACTCCGCTACAGTAAGAAAATGGAGACAGGGTAAAAGTCTAAGATGTTGGCAAGCACAAGCCTACCCTTAAAAACCAGATACCCTTCCTCAATGGTCAAAAAATGGTAGACTTCATAATGACCACTAGCAGGAACTATTATGACTGCAACCTGGTTACCTGGATTTGGAGATTCTCTAGAACTGATAACCATCATGGCTCAGGTTGAACTATACTTTTCAGGCCATATTAGAAACTTCGGGGAAACTAAAGTTCACATTTGCAGGCAAGGAAGGAAGAAGCATCCTCCTCCATCAATTCCCTCAATTCACTGCCTCTCTCATCTTACTGTTTACAGGTAATGTACATGGACCAGACTAGAGAAAGTCAGAAACCTATAGACTCCTGTCACTGTTAATCACATCACTGGGTGCACAAGGGAGGAAGACCTGCAAATGTTTCCAACAGTAAGCCCACAAAATGAGCCGGAAAAGTGAGAACCATGTCAAATTAGAATGGCTGAGTAGGAATTAGGTTTATGAAGGGGTGAGATAGGGTTCTAGACTGATGGTCTAACAGGCAAAATATCAACATAGCACAGAGTCTACACAGGTGCACCAAACAAAACAATACTACCAGCGTCAGTGGCATTTAGTGGATAAAATTCAATAAGCAAAATTTGGTGAAAGAGAGAGATGGGAGAGAGAAGGAGAGTAAATGGAGATACAAAGGACTTAGAAGTGGGTGGGCTTCTTGATCAAAGGATTGAAAGAAACTTTGTTATAAGAGGCTTCCCAGTGAGCCTGGGAGCTCTGCCCTGTGAATCTTCACTTTCATTACATACATTTCTTTTCTCATAACCATAAGTGGACTTCTTGATCTCTTTGTCACTTTTTTTCCATTAAAAATAATAAAGCATTTTAATTCATACTGTTTCAATTATCTTGTTCAATATTTTTTCATTCTGACTGTTCTATTGATTATTTCTGCTAAAGTTGGACATATGGTTGCAACCGGCATTACTTATGCATATGCATTATTGATATTTTTATACCAGCTTCAACATAAAGAAAATCTAGACTTCCCCATTGAACAAAGGATATCCTAAGAGGTGCTCATTGTTAGAAATATTTAATCTAACATGCTTACCATTTCTTATACCTCTGGGACATGAGCATATTTTTATTGCATCAGTATAAAAATTTTGAATAAACTATAACATGTATCATGAGGTTAAGCAAATCAGTGCATCTCTGTCATATTTGGCATCTTCTCTAAGTTCCCTAAAGGTTTGGAATTATTAAGACAAGAACATTCATTATCTTGCCTTCAGATCTGCACCAGTGTTGCCATGAGTCACCCCTCATCCTGTGGCAAGCAACCCATACTTTCATAGTTATCTCTTTCTTAGCTTTGCTATGGAAATCAGAACCCTTGAAGAAACCTGTGAAATGATGCTCTTCAGGCAGGAAGGATAGAAATTGTTGCTGAAGCCTTCAGTCACTCCCAGTAAGCTCTTCAATACATGACTGTCTCGTGACAATCACCACTGATTAAAAGACAGCACTTACAAATCGGCCTTATGGGCATTGTAGGGCAGCTTGCCAACCCCAAATCTTCCTCTTTACTGACACACCTCCCATGGTACTATTCTCTCATAATTTGTATCTCATAGTTTGAATCTGCTCATAATTTATACAACCAGAACCTGGATATGAAAACTGACAATCTCTGATTCATAAAATTCCTCTTATTGAACCTCTTGAGGAAACTGTCCAAAGTACAGAAATAGTATTACACTTTTCTGAATATTTATCTTCCTCTTGATGCTTACCAAGATGGAACCATTCTTAATTTTGTAGTTGATTAAACATTGTATATATGCACACACAAATTCTCATAATGAACATATCGCTTACCAACGTATTATTGTTCTATTTATGAAGCACTATAGTGTGATGAGTGAACATAGTATTATTGAAACAAGAAATATCTTTTTTTAAAGGCACTCCATAAAAGTTAAACCACTCTTTAAAATTCCTCAACAAAAAATATAATTAAAAGCAATTTAATATTTTCCCAGTCTACACAGGGTCTCCTGAGATTAATATAAAGTTTGTAGAGATCTATGCAGTCCTTTTCAACAAACACTGCAGCACTTTACAAGTAAGTGAAACAATATTGAATGGAAAATATGTTCATGAAGAAATCTATGCTTCGGGATCACTATTTGGTATCTTGCTTCTTTAAAAAAAAATGTGACACAAAGAAACAGATGCTACACTGTGCTCTGTGCTGGAAAACCAGCATGCTTATTTCATATGTATGTAAATTTTTTTCATTATGTGACTCTTTGCGAGTACTTAATCACAGCCACATTTGGTGTATAAGAAAGCAGATGAAAAGCTGCAGGAGCTGTTTCCATGCAATGTTACCTTTAAGGTTCGTGAAGATTGAAAACTGCATAATATTAAGACGCAATTGGGATTCTGGAGTAGCATTATTCAACATTCATGCAATATTGGCATTCAGGTGGTGCCTGCACTGGTCGTCTCATACATAAAAATAACAACAAAAAAACCCCACCTAAATGCATTTTTTATTGAATTTACTTTTAGGAACACATACACATTTGTTTCTAAAAACGAAAGACAAGGCAAAATTGATATGTTGTCCAATACCGTCTTTCAAAACATAACAGTAATCTCACCATCTGACTTTTAGGGAAAAAATGTTTCAAAGAGAAACAGAGAAGTTGAACATAGATAATAGAGGCCAAGCATTCCTTTTAAAATTGTATATAGTACTTTTTACAGCAACTCTTCACACACAAAGAGAGAGAGAGGGACAAAGAGATAAAGAGAGAGAAGAAAAAAGAAAGAAAGAAAGAAAGAAAGAAAGAAAGAAAGAAAGAGGGAGGGAGGGAGGGAGGAAGGGAGGAAGGGAGGAAGAAAAGCAAGAACAAAAACTGTGAAACAGTTTAGGAAAGGTTCAAATTTTAATTTTTTTAGATTATAATGACAATACTAACAAAAATAAGACAAAGAAATGCTATCATAAGTCATCTTTAATAATCTTCTGCTGACTCATTCTGAGAATAAATACAGATGAAAAGCATTAGAGTCCAACATAACATTTTCTTTTAAAATTCACAATAAAGAAAAAACTAGAGCATTAGGGCACATGCCTGTAATTTAGCCCTCAAGTAGAGTCTGAACGAGGCTGAAGGAGCAAGCAAGTTCACTGACAATCTGGACTAAGAATCTCTACCAGATAAGGCAGACAGAGGAGCAAACCCCTGCCTCAGAAAGGAAGAGGAGGAGGAAGAGGAAGAAAAAGAAAAAAAAAAGGAAGAATACTATTTAAACTCAATACTTAACATAAAGGATTCTTGATACTTTTGAAGGTCCATTCCCTGGTTCTTCCAATTCCAGTTGTCAAGTCCGAAAAGGAATGAAATGTGCTTCAAACTTCTCTGTCATTCAGGAATTAAGCATTGCCATGGCATTCAAAGTTTGTCCTCCAGTTACTTGGTTGCAGTATTGCTCAAAATCACCTCATGACTGCAATGAGATCTAACCCTTGGGGGCACTATCATAAGGTGAGTCACGCCTCATCTTCCTTCACTGGCTTTTCTAATTTCCTGGAAGCAGCAGCCTGGAGGGCCTCCTAGAGAGTCTGCTCAGAACCTTTATTCCCTCAGGACTTAGCCCTTCCTTGCCTTTCTTCTTGGGTCTGATAGCCTGAACTATTCATTCTGAGAGGTCGCTCCCACGTGGCTGAGTTCCCAAGCAGACCCAAGCTGACAGATACATTTATTTTGAAGGTGCAAGAAAAATAAGTGCCAATAAGTGCCATAGAGCCACGCTTTTAATTCAGAAGCCTACTATGTTCCATCTTACCTGACCATTGCCCTTCCTTACACACACAAACACACAGAGAACAAGTCACACACAGTCATACGCACACTGACCCACACATTTCCCGTCAATGAAGCATGCGTGTATCTGAAACTGATGTCTCAGTCTAGATGCTAGATAGGAATAAGTAGATAATCAGATTTGTTTTGTTCTTAACTGAAATGCAAAGTGAGGTGTGATATAATTCACAGTATATTGAACCAAAACAAGGTGCAAAGCATTCTCTAACTGTTTTGTCTAACAGATGCACATGTCCAAAACCATTTTCTAGCCCTATCAAGAAGATATGAATCTCATTATGCTTATTCTTCTCTTATAGCAAATACACCCTCTATGTCTAACAATTTACTATGGAAATATACTTTTCAAACATAACTCAGTTGTAAGTTCTTATGTAGCATGTCAATAGGACTGGAATAACTATTTTACAAGTCAGAGTGTTTAATGAAGGTGGAATGGCCAGCAGTTTCTTTCAAAACTCCCTAGCGACTCCATTAACATTATCAATAGTCTCGAGTCCCTACTATCTTGAAGACATTGCTTCATGCTAATAATATGAGCTTCCAGAAAACCAAGTTTCTAGGTAAAGACTCAACATCAGTTTTCCATCTACAAGTAAGTGGAAATAGTTAAGAAAAAGAGTAGCATCTGCCTTGGTGATTCTGTTGGTTCAAGCTCTGCATGAAATCATTTATATATTCTTCAACACATTTTTCTAATAACCCTAAAATAGGAGTAGTAATGAGAATATGCTATTGTTGGAGAAAATGGCCACACAAAGATTTTAAATTGTTGCTCCAACACCACTTTGCAAACATCAAGGAATAAGACAATGACCAGAATCCAAACTGAGTACAATTCAAAGATTGAATTGTCTAATCCTGTGTAGCTTTATCAATAATATTAATATTATGACATTTCTCTTCATAAAATATGTGAATATCATTCATTATACTTCCTCTTTAAGATGGTCTCTTCTTTAATAACATTTTATGTCTTTCCCATAAATCCTAATAAAGTATTGTGGGTTGATTTGAAAAAACAAGTTTGCAACTAGAAGCAACAATGGAACTACTCAGTTCACAAATGGAAGGTAAACAATGCATTTTGTCTGACATTATATCAACAATTACTTGATCCTGCACTTTAATTTTAAATAATAAAACTGCAATTAATATGGACACCTATAACCCCAGCATTGTAGTGCAGACAGAAAGACTGCTGGGCTTGCTGCCAGCCAGCCCAGCTCCAGTTTCAGACAGTAAGAAGTCTTGTCACAAAGGAATAAGGCAGAACTTGATTTCATCTATCAAATCTGGGAACCCAAATCATCTACCTCTGACCTCCACATGCAGGTACACAGGCTCGTGAACTAGCAGACACATGTGCACGCTTGTCAGGGAAACATATAACATACAGATGGAGAAAGGAAGGTAGAAAGAAGGGAAGAAAGGAAAGGAGGGAGGGAGGAAAGGAGAGAGGGAGAGAGGCAAGGATGAAAAAGGGAATGAAAGAAACTGTACCAAAAACTTCATATGACTGATTAATAAAAGATGATTCTGTGAAGATTTTTTAAATATTTGATATGCAGTATGAACTTCATTCATATAATGCCACCCTTTAATCACTGAATTATGTTTATCTTAGAGTATTCATATAGAAAAGTGTCACCTTGAGTTTTGAGCGAATTGATGTGAGACACACTATTTGTAGACTTGATGGGAGGAGAGACAAAAAGACATGAGAAGTTGGGTGGGCATACTATTCCACATACATAAGCATGCTACCTTCTCATCAAGCATTCTAAGCTCCACTCATCCTTATGGACATTGTGCTGGATATTCCTTTTGTGTAGGTCATTTTTTCCCAGAAATATTCACATGAGGAATGCCTTTATTTCCTTCAGGTCTATGTTCAAATGTAATTGTGTTTGTGAAGGTGTTCATTATCACTTTCAGTAAAGAAACGCCTTGAATGTCACTCTTTATATCCCTTTTTTTACTTGTCTCTGCTATTAAAACAGTCACTCCATGAACATAAAGACCAGTACCTTGAAAATTACATAATACATAGGAGAAGCTTAATAAACATCTGTGGCAAAATCAGCTAGTAAGTCAGCATACACACAGGAAGGTAAATCTAAGTTGATATCAAGACAAAGTTACCAATAACTATTAAAACATGGCTACAATTCTTGCATTCTGTTTAAAATTCAGACAGCTAGTCAGGTGATGGTGGTGCATGCCTTTAATCCCAGCACTCGGGAGACAGAGGTAGGTGGATCTCTATGAGTTCGAGGTTATCCTGGTCTACAAGAGCTAGTTCCAGGAAAGGCTCAAAAGCTACAGAGAAACCTTGTCTCAATTAAAAAAAACTCAGAGAGTGAATCCAAGTTTTCCTCTGATTTTTCTAATTTCTACACAGAATAGTTGAATTGTTTTAGAGTCGTTATACACACACTAAAGTCTTCTGGCTTAGTCACTATAGATAACCTATGCTTCAGGTAATTTGGCATCCTTTCTCCTTTCCAGACAAGATTATCCCAGGATTACAAATGTCAGAAGCTGAAAGAAGGACCCACTGTATCATTACTCTCCCAGAACTAATTATACTGGTGTGATTAATTATTGGTACATCAAATTATTTACCTAAAAACATCTGAGTCACAAAAATTTTCTTCAAAGAATTCCCATAATTTCTCCTGAGCTATCAAACAGGATATTGGCTCCTCCTGTGAGCATTGTGAACTCTGAAGGTCTCTCTGTTCATACACAAAATTCACAGCACATACTTGTCAATTAAACAGACATCTTGTGGGGGGTGACCTCTAGCAAGCCTCTGTGATTTGAGTTCATATTCTATTGCCCCTTACAATGCCTGCTTCATATTGAACACATTTGCTAAAAAGGAAGAGAAATAAGGAAGAAATAGGAAAGGAGGGACAGGAAGAGAAAGAGAAAATAGAAGAATGAGGGGCAGGAGGAAGGAAGGCCGAAGGGAGAGAATGACAGAATGAAGCATGGGGAGGAAGAGGAACCGTGTGTCTGTAGATAAGGGGCCATGCTGCCAGGTGAGGTCCTCTCCTGCAGCGGCAGTGCCATTCCTGGGACAATGACGGGGAAGGTCTTCCATCACCAGTACTACTCAGGACAGTTGCTGCTGTGTTTCCCTCTACCTTCCTGCAGACATTGGAACTCTAAAGTCCTCACAAACCAGGACACCAGGTCACTGCTTCCTAAACTTGAGCCTGCTTCTAATCACCTGCCAGGGCTGAGTAAACACCAATTAACCTACACCAGTTTCCCATTCCTCGGGGCTTGGGAGGGGAGCCAGAAAATTGCTTTCTAAAAGGTTCTCTCGCCAGGCCCACAGTTTACAACCATTTTCCTAGACACTTCTTGGAGCCAGGTGAGTCTGGAAGAAAATATTTGTATCTAGCACATTTCTCTGAAACTGCCTTCAGAGTATACTTTTCCTCTCAGCCTTGTCAATCACGGTTCTAACACGTCACTCGCCCACTGACTTTAAAACTAAAACATGGAAGTAAGGAGATCACTGTGCTTGCCTCAAAGAAGAAAATTCTTTAAAGAAGAGTCCAGTCAGTCTGAAGCTTTTTGTTTATGAGGCAAAACAATGGCTTAAGTCATCAAGATATACTAGCCGAGAGAGGATCATACCCTGTAAATGGTTCACAAGTCGGTAAAAAGAAAGCCACACAGAGAACACAGGCAGCTTTCAAAACCTGTGTTCCTGGGTCCGAATCAGAATTCAGTTATGCCACCACACAACACCTAGTAGAGTAAGCAATAATACTTTTTTTAGAGCTGTTTCGGGCACGCCTATTATTTAGAGAGCCACACTGGGCCACAGGGGCTTTCGGAAAGGAGCTTCGAGCTCTGTCTGGCCACTATAAACTGGGGCCACTTGTATCACTGCTTTTTCCATGAGGAATTTAAGGGGTGTGAGTGCATCCTTTCCAACCCTGCATTCCACATGTGACAAAACTGATCCAGCTGTTTGTCTGAAAGAAATTCCTTGCTGTCCTTAAAAATTAAAAAGCAAGTGGATATCCGTTCTCCAGGGGCAAGCCTCCAGCTGGAGCCTGGTAGAGGCAGTTGCGAAACAGCTTGCTCCGAAGGGCATCTGCTCTTGAATTCTTACCTCGCCATAAGGGGGTTAGCCCCATCTTGCTTTTTGAAATGGCAGATTCTGGATGCAAGTTGCTGGCTTGGCCCAAAGCTCTTGAGAAGTGTTCATCCACTACTGACCCAATGTCTCCCTGGAAATAAGTGAAAAGGACACAGCGAGAGTTAAGGTACTCCATCTCGGCAGGCTGGTCTTTCTCCTCCTCCTCCTCCTCATCCTCCTCCTCCTCCTCCTCCTCTTGTTTGCTGGGAAGCGTGACTTCCAGAGAGTCCTGCATCTTGCTGTATACCGCTAACTTCTTCTGGGACAGAATAAACAAAACATAGTATCAAAGACAGTCTGTGGAAAAGCGTTAACTAGTTAACTTTTCACTTTTAAATAAGAATCTAAATATTAACATATGTTTGCAAACTGATTCTCTGTCATCTGCTGTATTCCATCTTTTCCCTCCCCAAACCAGTTGCCTCCCTCCCACACTAAGAAAAAGACTGTTATTCCAAATTTGGCAAAGAAAGGGGATTATTATCAAATTGTATAATTTCAGCATGTCAGGCAGTTTTTTCCTTTTTTATTTTTATTTTTTACTTTTGCTTTTGTTTTAAACCCAGCTATAATAAATGAATGACTTAAAAAAAAAAAAACAGTGACAGATTCCTTCCAGACGTCTTAATGCTCAATTTTTATTTACATTTAAAGATTTAATGTATGGTAACATTCTACTTTAGGGCAGTGGAGAAAACGTGAGAACGAACTGTCCAGGATAGGGTGGAGAAGAAAAAAAAATCTTTTCCTAAATGAAATAAACTAAAATCAAAACAGGAATGCACCATCTTATAAAAGGATTTGGCAGATGGACTGAACTCATTTCTCAGAAATCAAACTGAAATGACGGAGTAAGTCTGTGTGAAGATCCATTTTACACGGACCATGTTTTTCATATGTTCCACTCACCACTATTATCATAGGGAGAGAAAGAGTTTATTGTGGCTTACTGAAATAAAACAATATACTTGCAAGAATTAACTCTTCAAATAAAAATGAGCAGAGTTTGATATCTTTGAATATTTCAACATATGGTCATGCCTACAGTATAATCATTAATATATATTATCCAAGAACCTTTTCTAAAATGTCACATATATGATCTGAGTCGATTTTTACATTCCTATTACATGGTTAGTGTTGCTGTGTGCATCTTAAAGAAAGTAAGGACCAGAGAAGTTAAGCAAGCTGCCATCAGTCACAAATTATATAACTGACAAAGACAATGCAGAAGAAAGTAAGCAGACGTAGATGTACATGACAACCATATTGGTAGGGAAGGGAATAAGATCTACTATAGCAAAAAGGTTCCCAAGTAGTTATGGTCAATATTGTTCTTCTAAATGGAAATTTGGTAGCTAGTTGTTATTCTTCTCACACCTGCTTGTCATCCTTTCCAAACATTTTCACTGCACATGGATGATCTAATGATTACCAACAACTTCACTATAAACGATGCCTAAGTATACACTCCTGGTGGCCACATAAGCATTCCAAATGCACAGCCTATGGTAAAAGTCAATACCTTATCCTATCATTCTCCTTATTTCTGGGGAAATTATGCATGCTGGTAAAATGAGCATGAATAGCAAAGGCAGATAATTCCAAAACCCTCAGTAGTTTTGCATGTGTTGGCAACATAGAACAGATTTTATGTTTCTCATGTAATCACTAGTTTGGAAACCAATTAACCACCAATTGTAAGTGCATCTTCAATTACTCAATCATTTTCTTCTAGCAACAAATATATTGTTCTTATTCCAGGTGGTTTCTGAAATGGGTATGTAATGAGAGGCTAATCATTATTTGGGAAATATTAATTACAAATATATGTAGCATTTTTATTTAAAATTCACATCAATATGGTTTGTATTTTCCTTTGAGTAGATAATTTATTCCATGTGAATACATGTGTCTGATTGATGAATAGGTAGTTGTAATGCTGTCTGGTTATATTCCTTATGATCTAGTTTGTTCAAATATGACTTCAAAAGTAAAACATTATGATATGTTATGCAAGCGCAGAAATCTAGTTAAATGACTTCTAGTTTCAAATTTCATTATAAAATTAAACAAATGCTATGATTTATTGATCAAATCACAGTGCTATTTTCCTGGAGGCATGCACGTTTACTGAAAACCTACATGGCGATAGCTATGCATAATCTGTCCTGGCTAGGCTGACTTATTTGGAATACCACTTTTAAAGGAAATGAAAACTGATGCACAGAGCAGTTTCTCTGCTCAGAGAGTTCACTGTCCTCCACGGAACTGACCAGCTTCTCCTGTCAGTGTCCTTCACAGTCTCAGTTTGGGGTGTGTGCTTTGCACACACCTCTCCCGTGTCTTTATTTTAAAAATTATGTTAACTACCCAAAGAAAGGAAAGGAATTGCTTCACTGCTAGTTTACCAGCAATTACCTCTTAAATGAATTAAATTAAATTAAAGCAAAATATTGCAAAACTATGAAATGACATAAACAAAATAATGCTTTGTGGTAAGTGATAGCAATCAGGAACCATGTCCAGATCAACTGCTGGCAGCTGGATTTAAACCATAGCTTTTCAATCTAACGTTGCAGAACTCTGTAAATGCTACATAATTCATGAGAGCTTTTTCTATCAGCTATGAAATAACAAACTACAAATAAATTAATATTTAAAATTCAGTACTTATCCATAGGCCATGCAGTAAAAAATAAACTAAGTCTTATGTCAAAAGAACCATCATTAATCTAATTTGTAAAAAACAATCTTTCATTGGTACATTCATTAATCGATTCTCTTCATTTTTATATTTCATACATAAACAACATGTCTCTACTTGTATAACTATGCATGACAAAATATCCCCTTTAGACACTGTGGATACTTATGTAGCTCAATCAAAAGTGAGTCTATGGTCTACCACCAACAGGACACACAGATGTTTATTATTCTACTTAGACGTCCCCCTCCATATTTTGCTCAAGTTTTCATACTCTGTAGAGAAACTATTCGGATATTCACATTTTCAACATATATTTAGCCTCAAGATATCCCTGGTTAAAGTAAGAGTTTCAAAATGTCCAAATGGTCTGATAATTAACAAAACTATCAAGCTTGAATGTGCATAAGAGCTTTAATAGAAGCGACAGCAGAAAGGGAACAAAAACACATCATTAAAACATCATGAAGCTTATAGACTACCATCACACCATCCAGCCTCTCAGACCTGAACACCAACCACTTTCTGACACCAATTCCTTATTCCTTTTCTCAAACCATGTCCCTCACGTGCACATTAGCTATATTCTATTTGCACTTAGTCTTTATTCTTGCATGCCATTTTTCCTAGTGATACATGTTTTTGTTGGGAAAATATAAATAAATCTTAAGGTTGAGATGAAATCTCAAAGTGTCAGAACATAGATATGCAGAATCAAGATCAAAATGTCACTCAGTTTGTATATTTTTCAAAATGCAGTCACTTCCTAGAATATATCTAATAAGTATCTGTACTCTTCTTTCAGGATTGTGAAGAATTTTTACAACGAGTTGTGGCTAGGGAGATGGTTTGGTGAGTAAACATTTGCCAAGCAAGTCTGAAGAGCTGAGTTCAGATTCCCAGTACCCATGTAAAAGCTGGATAGGCTTAGTAACCAGCTTATAATCCCACCACCTGAGAGGCAGCAACAGAAAATTCTGGAGCAAGCTGGCTGGCCTAGAGCTACCAGACACCAAATGAATGAGCCCTGGTTCATGCAATAGCTCCTACCTCACCATTTAGGTGGAGGAAAATGGAGGAAGTGCAAATTCAACATCTGGCCTCCACATGCACTTGCGCATATATGCCAACACCCACTTACACACATGTATATCAACAATCATGCTAACACACATACACATGCACATTTGTATAACACACACACACGCGCACACTACAGGTGGGTATAGGTAATACACAAGTGTTTCAGTGCCACTACACAGTAGACGCCATTTTCTCCAGGTAATAAGATTTCAGGTTGGTGAAACAACGAAGGAGTTAGAAGTCAGAGTTGATGTCTGCCTACAAAGAAGGGTAGAAAAGGGAAGGAAAGTTGGCTTAGGCAGTGCAAACCCTAATGATCACCTCAGAGCCTGCCATCAGGCACACAGAAACAAACTTCAACAGGAATGTGCAGGGGAAGGATTTTGTCTGACAGGAGAAAGACTTCCAGGTCAGGAGCCAAATACCACTAAGTCCCCAAGGCTTAAGCCACAAAATGCCAAGCGCTTATTGTGCATGTGTGGAAAGTTTCTTCCTAAGGAAACAAAACTATTTTAATGAATCACTGAAATCACTGGATGTTTGGAAAACAGGTTTGATAATAAAATTCTATTGACTATCTCCTTTAAGTGAAGTGTTTTGTGTTTTTAAAAAAAAGAAAAGAGAAAGATTAGAATCTATAGAAACACTAGTCTATTTCCAAAGCATTAACTTCAGAAGACCAACCCACTGATCTTTTATCTTTTTTAGAAATTTACTTCTAAGACAGATCTTTAAATATATCTCAGAGATTTGCTGAAACATCAGAAAATATGTGGCTTGATTGGTTTAAAGAAAATATGCCACAGAACTTCTCTATCTTTATCAAAATTTTCAAGCAAGACTTATTCATTTGTGTGTCTAAGTGTGTGCATGTATGTGTTTGTTTGTATGTGTATGTCTTCTCATGAATGTGTACCATAATGTAACAATGTAAGGACCTTTATATGCTAAGCTATCTCATGCCCCATCTATCTTTTGTTTTACTTAGTTTCTCAATGTGCAAATATTTCCCAGATTACTCACAATTTATAAATGCAAAAACTTCTTTCCACAACTAGAATCGCCTGACTAGTAAAGATCTTGGGGTCAGAATCAATTTCTGTCTGTCTACACAGCATGTTCTGAGGAACCATGCCAGTGTTTTTATAAGATAGTTATAGAAACTATAACTTGTTGACTGAAGAAACAAATAGAAGCCAACAATATGGCATCACATGTTGACGAAGATAGCCTACAGTTATTTTTTTTTGCGACATTAGAAAACGAGAATTAAAAACATCAGTTAGCTGGAGATGTAACTAGAGCATCTGCCTAGAATTCACGATACCCTATGTTTGATTTCTGATACCAGAAAGGAAAAATAATTTTAACTTAAAAATGAAAACATATTAGAGATATAGTTGCTAAATAATACAATGACCTTAATATATATATTCTTCTAGATGACAATTAATGTCTATTTTTATATA